TTATTAGCTGCCTGATTGACTGTTGGATCACTTGATTGACTGACAGACTGATTGAGTAATTGACTGATTATTTGGCAGACTGACTAGTCGGGCCATCTGACTGACTGATTGCCAGTTGATTGACTGAACGACTGACTGATTGAATTATTGAGAAACAGAATAGCTGACTGATTGATTGATTGTCGAAAGGGTCAACGGACTGACTGACTGATTGTGTGATTGACAGACTGACCAGCTAACTGATTTAGTGACTAACTCGTGTTACTCGCCCTAACCTTATTTTTATGGGCTACACTAATTTTTAATATATTTGTGATAATCTTTTCAAGAAGGATCTATATATATGGAGATTAGACTGGACTAAGACTCTAATTATGTATTTATTAATGCACACGTTTCTCTGCAGGAACCGTTTCCATGCCCTTCTATACGGTATATGTGCTGAAGGGCTACTGGGATCTGGGACCTTTACTCTGCGACTTGTGGCTATCTGTGGACTATACCGTTTGCCTGGTCTCTCAATACACCGTCTTGTTGATAACCATTGATCGCTATTGCTCGGTGAAAATCGCAGCAAAGTATCGCAGCTGGCGCACTCGGACACGGGTCATTTATATGGTCTCCATCACCTGGATCATACCGACGCTGCTGTTCTTCATCTCGATCTTTGGCTGGGAGCATTTTACGGGCAAGCGCGATCTGTTGCCGGGCCAGTGCGCTGTGCAGTTTCTCAAGGACCCGGTCTTTAATACCGCATTGATCATTGGCTATTATTGGACAACATTAATTGTGCTGTTCGTGCTGTATGCGGGCATCTATAAGACGGCCTACGACATGCAGAAGCGGAGCGAGGCCAAACAGCGCAAGATGCAGTCGATGGTGGCGCTGAGCGCTGGCGCCATGTCCGGCATGGCTGGTCATGCTGCGGGCATCGGTGTCATCGAGGAGAAGATACTGAAAACTAAGGTGCAGCTTTCGGAGGTAGATAACAGCGGCTGCAACACAGCCGTAAAGCGTCTGAGCGGCTCGGGCCAAGCCAATCCGCTGGCGCAGGCCACCGAAACAGTTGCCATTGTGCAGATGACACCCGAACAGCGACGCGCCTCCGAGGCCAAAATTGAGGAATCCAAGCGTGCAGCGGCCGAGGCAGAGAAGAGCGAACGCTCCAGCAGTCCAGCCTTTGATTCCGATGAGGAGTCCTCGGTCAACCAAACACAACAGCTGCTCAATCAACAGAAGCTGACCAATCTGCGCAAGCGTTCGTCCATCGGCCTGGTGTTTGGCGCACAGGCGGCGCTGTTGGCGACACGCAGCAAAGGTAACTTGCAACAGAGCACCAGCAACTCCAAGTCAATTGAGGCCATGCACTCCATGGGCGCACGATCGCCACACCATCACCCAATTAGCCAATCGAACTTGCAGCGCGCCCAGAGCAAGGAGGAGGTGGGCATGGGTCATTATCAGGCGCATACACCAATTGAGCGACCCAAGCGCACCTCCTGCTCCACTTTGTCCCAGATAGCCGAGCATGACCGTCTCATTGATATCCATCAACCCTCGATACCAGCCAAGCCTGACCCGCTCTCACCCGTGGATCTGGCGCCCATTGAGGTGCCGCGCGAGCAGGTACAACAGTGCCTGGTGCAGGCCATATTGCCGCCGCCCGAAGCCTTTCAGTGCCCCACACCCCTGTCCGATTACTCGGATCGGCCCTTTGGCAACAGCTCCGGCAACAGCGAACTGGCCATGAGCTACGATCTGATGACGAACAACTCGGAGATGCGCTACATGGATGAGAGCTCCGCCATGATGACCGCCACCAATGATAATAGCATAAGCTGCTCTCAGAGCAGCGCACCACGCACCGCTCCACGTACCATGCCCGTTTCCACAGCACAGCGAAGTGCCATTCCACCACCGCCACCCGCACGTAAACAGCTCCAAAGATCCAGCTCCCCCATTGTTCCAGCGGCTAAGCCCAGCCAGAGCCGGAGCGAGTGTAATGAGGAGAGCCAATCCCAGTCCCAGGAGCAGGTAGCCATTGAAAAACGTCTTCTCGTCTCATACACAGGCATCGAGGACTTCGCCAAGGGTCGGCGAGAGAGCTGCATTGAGGCCATTTGCCTGCTGGATGTGCCCGGGCATGGCAATGATCGGCTACAGGCAGATTGTCCGCCGCGTCGCGCCTCCAGTCCCATGGAGACGAGCAGCAAGGATGCGGTGCTCTACTCTCCCATGCCACCGCCGCCGCTTAAACCGATGCCAGTCACAGGCAATGCTGCCGCAGGCGCAGCTGCTGGAACCGCTGCTGCAGTGGCACCACCAGCACCGGCTGCTATTCAACTGGAGCGCATTGATGAGCGTGAAGCGTCGGACTCAAACACCAATAAGATGCCCTCCACATCGGGCACCACCAGCAGCTCCGCTGGTCTGGCCGGCGGCATGAGAAAGGATGCCAAGGAACTCGATGAAGATGGCGGTGTCTCGCGTCGTGGCTCCAGCAAACGGCATTTCATGCACTCCATTGGCAAACATTTCAAGAGCAAGAAGGCCCTGCCCCTGGTCATGGGCATGGGTGGCAGCCGGCAAAAGTCCAAATCGGAGAATCGTGCACGCAAAGCGTTTCGCACCATCTCCTTCATCTTGGGCTGCTTTGTGGCCTGCTGGACGCCGTATCATGTGCTGGCCCTGGTCGAGGGCTTCTGCCGGAATCCGCCGTGCACCAATGAGCATCTATATATGTTCTCCTATTTCCTGTGCTATGCCAACAGTCCAATGAATCCCTTCTGCTACGCATTGGCCAATCAGCAGTTCAAGAAGACATTTATGCGCATTCTCAAGGGTGATCTGCACATGACCTAAGCAAACCCCACAAGCTGATGATGATGATGACGATGAGTTTTGGGATGAGTTGAGATTGATCGAGATGGCACGAGCCGGATCCGGCTTTGGCATTGCATTTGTCAAGTGGTACACAACATTTCCGAGAGCCCCGCGGAATGTTGAGACCCAATTTTATGCTATCTCTAGATTTTGGTTAAATGCTCCGCCAAATTGTGGATCCCGCCCCTCCCCACTCTGTCGAACACCAATTGAATTCAAAATTTGAGCGGTGTTTTTGTAATTTAAGGTCAGCCAAAGGTGTGTGTTAGTTAGCGACTAGTAGAAGCTATTAGAACGGAGTTGTAGTAAAAGTTGAGGCAAATGTTTTAGACAATAAATAAATTAATGTTTATATATTATTAAGCTATGAGCCCAAAAAGTGGTAAATAGTAGAATATAGTAATTAGTCTATGCAGCTAAATAAATGTATACATAATAATGATAACAATAATAATCATAATGACTATACTCTCCCGATACATACCATATGCATTACATATCCCAAACTGAAGAATTTTTTTTCATTTATCATAGCATATATATTGTATAACACGCATAATATATATATATATATACATACTACCAACTGTGAGATTGCAAATTATATGCAAATATTTACACAAATTGCATTCACAAAATAATAAATAAATGAAAATAAATAAATAAATATTCTATATACAGAGGCATACGACCCATCCGACCCAACTGAACAATAAGTGTTAATCAGCAACAAAATCAGAAAATATATAAACAAATACAAAAGATTGATGTAAAAAAAAAAAACAAAAAACAAATAAGTATTTAACAAATATACAAAGTCACAAAAAAACGCTCTTATATGTAAATCTATATATGTATTCAAATAACCGTGTATAAATGTCAATTTCTATTTGAATATCGGGAACCGACAACTACAACAACTGCCCAACGGGCTAGTATCGTGCTCTATATAAATATACACACACACACACACACACATATATATATATCTAAATATATTTGTATTATAAGTGGAAAAGAGTTATATATAGATATATATATATATATATATATATATATATATATTATATTTCGCGTCTATGCCGAGCTGCCTGAATTAGTTGACTTTGTTACACTTAACACATACGTATTAATTAATATATTATATTATATATTATAAAAAACTGTTATTTGTTTAAATATGTCTCGAAATGTTAACATATTGATTATTGTCACTTTAGTCCATGCCAAGTCCATGCCTAATTGGTTTGATTTTCGTTTAAATTTAACTCAACTCTTCATTTACCTTCCAACATAATTAGTTAGCTTAAGCATTTCGTTTGTCTTAGTCCCTAAGTGAAGCATGTTACAATAACTACAGCATTAAATAAATAAAACATTTATGTCAGCAGAAAGCAATATGAAACTACATTTTCTAACAAATTTAGAACAAATGTCAACTCAAAAGTGAGGCTCTCTTCTTCTTCTTTACGTAATATGATATGATTTTGAGTCTAAAAAAATTTAATTACCGCCATATTATTAAATCCACGCTCGGAAAATGGGTGGAAAAATGTTAACTTTTTTTTTGTACGAGCAAATTTAATTTATTTGTATTCGAAATCTGGTTCACAGCTCAAATCCATTCCGCTGAGTACAATGGAGCTTACAAAGTAGCAAATTTTTAGCCCAGAAAGGTTTTTAAGTTTTTCAAGAACTTTTTAAGAACTTATGATTAAAACTTGACTAAGGTGAGGCCGATAATTACAGCTTTGTATGTTTGCATAGCCTAAAGCTAGGAATTTTGAAAAAGCGCCTTACTCTGCGATTCTCATGAATTTATGTCATACTTAAAGACCGCGTTGCACGTGAATAAGATGTATTATATATACAAATTTATGTATGTATTTATATAAAGTATTGTTTATTAACATAATACCAAATTAAGATACATATAGATAATATATATTCCTTATTTGAAATGGGCAATTAAACAGAATCTAGATTTGATCGCATTAAAAAGCAACACGAAATTTGTTATCCAAATTTTGCTTTCCAGCCCTGGCTGTCATCAAAATTGTGGCAATTTGCAACACTTTTAAAACCTGACATCAAAATTCAATTGAAACTATCCGAGCTAATTAATTCGGAACTCGGGTGTCGGGGCAGCGCGTAGTCCGCTTTCAAACGCCAAAGTGTGCAGTAAACAACAATTGGTGGCCAGTTGGATACCCATCGAGCAAGTCCAGAGCATAGCGAGCATTAGCAACAACGCGATATCCACTTCCAATTGTCGGAAGCTCAAAGTACGAAAAACAACGCATTTGAATTAGGCCCACCTGTTGACCCCGTCTGCGGTCGTTGTGCGACACCGAAACTCACAATGGATTTATTCATACGTATCATGGGCGTGATCCTGACCTATCTGGGACTGTTAATAAATAAGATACTCGAGTTTCTGATACTACGCAAGCAGCCCGATTATCCGCCCATCCGGAATCCCATACTCACAAAAGCGGTTGTGCAGCTTGTGACGGATTTGCGACGTGGCCAGGTAATCGAAATCGTGAAATTGTGAAAAACCCAACTATGCAATAATTTCCGCATATTCTTAGCTCACATCCGAGCAGCTGGTTCGGGCGTATATTGGGCGTGTGCGTGAGGTGAATCCCTCGCTGAATGCGGTCATTGAGGAGCGCTTCGACGAGGCGCTCCGTGAGGCCACACATGCGGATACGCTGATCGCCAAGGCGCCCTCAGAGTTTGATCGCGTGGCGCTTTATACACGATATCCCCTGCTGGGCATACCCTTCACCGTGAAGGAGTCCTGCGGGCTAAAAGGTAAGCTACGGGCTATTCAACTCTTTTATACCCCAAACCCAATGAAAATAAACAGGCCGTAGTAGATTTATACATCGCCTTTAAGTATATATCCAGTCCGTACTTTCGCTTCGATCTCTGGAAATCTTTCGATATCCTCTGCCATTTAAAAAATATCTATAAATATCAACTGGCAGCTTTGATTTGTTAAACATATGTTAGCCAAAGAATCTTAGCGTTATAGCATACACAGACTAGGAATATTTCACCTTGTGAAAACCTTCCCTAAAGAAATCATTTTTAAAGAAATAATCACACTTGGGTATATGTGGACAGTTGGGCAGCATATTGCGGATCCAAAAGTTTGACAATAATCGGACCATAAACACCGAAGTTATTTAAGAACACATTTCCCATAAAGTGGGGCTAAAGTGCAGAAGAGCAGCGTGCGTTCATGCGTGCGTGCGTGCGTGCGTGCGTGCGTGCGTGCGTCCGTTCATGCGTTCATGTGAGCGCGCGTTCATGCGTGAGTGTGTGTAAATATGTGTGCTTTTCTAAAGGTATGCAGGCAAGTGCAGGGTATCTGCTAGTCGAGCACTCCCTAGACTAGACCATTGTAACCATTTGTGGCATATTCCCTGCAGGACTCTCCTATGCGGTGGGCAGCGTTGTGCGCAAGGGCATGAAAGCGCCCAAGGATGGGGATGTCGTGGAGCTGGTGCGTGCTGCTGGCGGGATACCGCTGCTGGTATCCGCCAATCCCGAGTTCTGCATGAGCTTCGAGACGAACACGGTGGCCAACGGACGCTGTGTGAACCCCTATGATCTGGCACGCACCTCAGCCGGCTCCTCTGGCGGCGAGGGAGCCTTAAATGGCGTCGGTGCCACCACATTTGGTGTTGCCTCCGACATTAGCGGCTCCATACGGCTGCCGGCAATGTTTTGCGGCGTCTATGGCCATAAGCCCACGGGTGGACTCACCTCTGTCAAGGGTCACTATCCCTACTCGCTGGTGGACAAGAATTTTCCCAGTTACCTGCAAATAGGACCGATAACGCGATTCGCGCGCGACTTGCCGCTGCTTCTGGAGATAATGGCGGGCGACAATAAACACAAGCTGAAAATGCAGGAGCCGGTGCCGCTCAAGGAGATTAAAGTAAGATGCATATAGTCTACAGATATATACTCTGTTCACAAAACGAAACAGGGCATATTTGCTATGTCCGTCTTGCTGTCATTCCGTCAAGTTCTGGGCGAGTATTTCGCGACATTAAAGTAGGGTTCAAGCATTCTAAGAATACTCTGTTCCTAAAAGGAACCAGGGCATATTAGTTAATTTTAATTGTCTGTCTTGCTCTCATTCCATCTATCCGGCGGACATAACGCGGCAGATCGTACTCTGTTCACAATAGCTAATATGTATACCCTGTTTACAAAAGTGTAAAGGGCATATTAGTCTTGCTGATATTCCAGTCCTAAGTATTCCTTGAAAGGAGAACTGATTCCAGCTCGAATAAAAGCAATAAAGATATAAGCCTTGTGACATTAAAGTAGGGTTCAAGCATTCTAAGAATACTCTGTTCACATAAGGAACCAGGGCATATTAGTTTATTGTAATTGTCTGTCTTGCTCTCATTCCATCTGTCCGACGCACATAGCGCGGCAGATCGTACTCTGTTCACAAAAGCTAATATGTATACCCTGTTTACAAAAGTGTAAAGGGCATATTAGTCTTGCTGATATTCCAGTCCTAAGTATTCCTTGAAAGGAGAACTGATTCCAGCTCGAATAAAAGCAATAAAGATATAAACCTTGTGACATTAAAGTAGGGTTCAAGCATTCTAAGAATACTCTGTTCCCATAAGGAACCAGGGCATATTAGTTAATTTTAATTGTCTGTCTTGCTCTCATTCCATCTATCCGGCGGACATAGCGCGGCAGATCGTACTCTGTTCACAATAGCTAATATGTATACCCTGTTCACAAAAGTGTAAAGGGCATATTAGTCTTGCTGATATTCCAGTCCTAAGTATTCCTTGAAAGGAGAACTGATTCCAGCTCGAATAAAAGCAATAAAGATATAAACCTTGTGACATTAAAGTAGGGTTCAAGCATTCTAAGAATACTCTGTTCCCATAAGGAACCAGGGCATATTAGTTTATTGTAATTGTCTGTCTTGCTCTTATTCCATCTGTCCGACGCACATAGCGCGGCAGATCGTACTCTGTTCACAAAAGCTAATATGTATACCCTGTTCACAAAAGTGTAAAGGGCATATTAGTCTTGCTGATATTCCAGTCCTTAGTATTCCTTTAAAGGAAGCTCATTTGAAAACAAAAAAGATATAAACTCTTGTGACACTGTGAACAGAGTATCGCTCAGTTGGCTACACCCGACTGCAACGTACTTCTATTGAATTTGCACCTGCAGATCTACTACGCCTACGGCTATTCGGGACTTAACGGAATAACGCATCCGTATGTGGACACGGACATCAAATTGACAATTGTGCGTGCCATCAAATGCTTTGCCAAGGCTGGCATTCGGCCGCAACTGGTGGGTCCTAATGCATGTGTAAAACGCAACATTGTGTAAGACATAATCCTTGATCAATTTATATAGCTGGATCTCAGTTTTCTGCGCAACTCCTTTGAGGTGGCGATCACGGCGCTGGTCGACCTGAAGGGTCTGCCGAGCATTATAACGCAGCAATCGGATCGGCCGCCGCATATGAAGATGCTGCTGATGGAAATGCTCAACAGCACCTTTGGCCACTCGCTGTTCACCAAGGAGGCGCTTTTTCTGGAGCTCATGCAGCGCCTGAATGGCATGATGTCCGCCAAGAATATGGAACAGTATCGCCAGGAGGTCGGGCCGCTGAAGGCGCATCTAACGGTAATGCATGGGCCGCATATATTTGATGGAATAGAATACTCGATTCGTTTCTTTTGGCTTACAGGAATTACTCGGTGATCGGGGAGTGCTCTTCCTGCCCACATTCCACACGAGCGCGCTGTGCTTTCACACATCTTTGGTGAACATCACGGGCATTGATAATCTGCTGCTATTCAATGTGCTCGGCTTTCCGGCAACGCACGTGCCCATGGGCCTGAATGTGCGCGGCATGCCCGTGGGCTTTCAGGTGATAGCGGCGCCATATCAGGACAAACTCTGCCTGCAGATTGCTGCCGAGCTGGAGGTCGCCTTTCATGGCTGGGTGCCGCCCGTGTTGCATCAGCTGGTCAGCCCGAGCTCGCAATAATCAATTTCCTAGACAATTAAGTATAACGGTTAGCTTAGGTAACGGGTCACAAAATAAATGAACAACTCGTCATTTATATCGTAACGGCTGCGTGTATATTTTCTCTATCGATATACCATATACTGTTACTTTCACAAAAGTTTTAGTGTTGGCTAACCTGAGAGTGAGTTCGGCTTAAATTAAACGCACACTCTCTCGACTTAGCTCTCTCTCTCTCTCTGTCTGTCTCTCCCTCTCACAGTATCGTCAACGCACACTTACATTTCGCGCTCGCTCTCGCCCACTCTCTCAGCTTTCGGCGCAGATCATTTATTGACATACATACACAAACATAAACAGCCAATACGCAAGAGAGCTTCCAATAGCTGTGTGTGTGTGCTTTATCGATATCACTTTTTAATACGAGATAGAAGAGCTTTGCTTAGTTGCTCTGTAAGCACACACACAAACATATCGCGTGCACGCTCTCTATATCTCTCAATTGGCCTTGCACTATGTAAACAAGTCTTTGGAGCTTGTTCATCCATTCATTCGCACTCATATAATCAGTAAGCTGCCTGCATTGCAGGAAATAAGTTCGTTACGTGTTTTGCTCATTTTTTTTTTGTCGTACTTTATGCATTATGGAACTTTTACTACGTTTGCTATTAATATTCATCAAGTTCATCGCATTTGTTGCGCACGCGCTGCAATATGTATTTATCTGGGCACGAGGACGCCAGATAAAGCCAAATCTACCAGCTAACAGTAATCCTCTGCTGCTGCTTAGCATTCAGGAGCTGCGCACGCGACTGCGCAGCCGCCAGGTGAGCTACTTCAGAAGAGGAAGCGCAAGAAAGAACAAGAACAGTTAGCCGGCAGGGTATCCCTCCCCTCGCTTCTCTCTCCTCCTAATTAATCAAACCTTATGGTCTGCACATGGTTTTTCCCCCATGAGTTACATGCTTCTCGACAAAATCATAATACCCCACTCTTGTGTTCTAGCTGACCTCCGTGGAGCTGGTGGGCGCCTATATCGAGCGCATAAAAGTCGTGAATACCCTGTTAAATGCCGTGGTGGAGTCGCGCTTCGATGCGGCGCTGCTTGAGGCAGCCTCTGCGGATCAGCTGATAGCCGCTGCCGGCGGCGATGCGGATCAGCTGTTCGCTAAGCAGCCCCTGCTGGGTCTGCCTGTCACCGTGAAGGAGTCATGTGCTCTGTCCGGCATGTCCTTTGCCGTAGGCAGCCTGGCCAGAAGTGAGCGGCGAGCGGATCAGGATGGTGTTGTGGTGGCACGCATACGCGCCGCCGGTGCAATACCCTTGCTGGTATCCGCCACGCCCGAGTACTGTTATTCCACGGATACGGATACGCTGCTAAATGGACGCTGCCGGAATCCGTTTGACTTCGAGCGCACGCCGGGCGGCAGCTCCGGCGGTGAGGTGAGTGGACGCTAGTAAAAGCTGTCATGCAATTGCCTAATCCTCGCTTAGGGTGCATTGAACGGTGCCGGCGCCTCGCTCTTTGGCATCGGCTCGGACATTGGCGGCTCCATACGCATTCCCAGCCTCTTTTGCGGCATCTTCGGGCACAAACCGACTGGGGGCGTGGTCAGCGTAACGGGCCACTTTCCCAACTCCAGCGATGCAGATTTCCAGCAGTATTTGGTGCTGGGTCCGATGACCAGATTTGCCGTCGATCTCGCCCAGCTGCTGGAGCTGATGGCTGGGGCAGAGGCGGCGGCGCAGCTGCGTCTGCACGAGCTGCTGCCGCTGCGCCAGCTACAGGTGCACTACGCCCTGGGCTTTGAGGGTCTCAACGGCGGCATGCATCAAGCTGTCGAGGAGGACATCCAGACGGCCATACGCAAAGCTGTGGTGCATCTGCAGACACTGGGACTGCCCGTGCAGCGGGCAAGGCTGGCCGGCTTTGGCGATTCCCTGGAGATTGCGTTAAGCGGCATTGCGCGTCTGGGCCAGATGCCTTTTGTGCTGGACTGGGAACGCAGCCAAGTTTGGCAAACCGTGATGCAGCTCTTGCGCAGCCTGTGCGGTAAATCCCGTCATACAACGAACGCCCTGATCTTTGATCTAATGCGTCGCACCAACGCCTTTATGCCCAGCCAGCGGCTGGAAAGTTATCGCCGCGAAGCTCAGACTCTAGCTGGCCAGTTGACTGTGGGTATATCCAATTAAGAAGCTGCTGCGCTTAACCCAAGGTTTCTCTCTAATCCTCCAGGAACTGCTCGGCACAACCGGCGTCCTGCTCTTTCCCACAATGCATGCGCCTGCCACAAGGCATGGCTGGACGCCCCTCCAGCTGTGGGGCGTGGATTATACGCTACTCTTCAATATACTGGGTCTGCCGGCTACGCATGTGCCCATGGGCCTAAATGGCCAGGGTTTGCCCATTGGTTTCTCGGTGATTGCGGCACCTTATCAGGATCGCCTGTGCCTGCGTGTGGCTGTAGAATTAGAGCGTGCGTTTGGTGGCTGGCAGCCACCAAATGCCACAAGATCTGGTTAGCTAATAAGCTCAATTTTATTCAATGTGTGCTAAGTCATAAAAATGGAATATTCAAATTTAACGTATTTTAATTTTAAACTGCTTGCTAGCGCCATCTGTCGATAGAATTAAGAAAAGCAAATGCGTTTTGGTTCGAAATGTACAGCAATGCACTAAAAAATCTCGAAGAATAAAACAACAAATAATCTATTCAATGCAAGTTGTTTTCTGCGATTTAATTATACTTTAATTTAAATTTTATAAATATTGAATGCTTACCAAAATCGTTAAGCGTTCATTTTCTGAGTTAAATAAGTATTGAACTATTCGCTGTGGGTGTACTACAGCTAGTTAAATAATAGTAGAAAAAAATATACATAGTCTGGCTGCGGTTGGCAGCGTTGTTTGTTTATTTATTCACGTTTACTAATAATTTTTTATAAAATAAACTTATTTGGCGCCAGTTAGATTCATGTGCCGTTCATTTTTAGCGCATTTTTCTCAGCTTTTTTTTTTTGGTATTTTTTGTATTGCCGCTCACGAACAGATGTTGTCGCGCCCCTCTCACTCACTCTCTCGCTTGCACACGCTACTTGCATCAGCCACTCGGTGTGGTAGTATTAGTAGTATTACTGAGCTCGCGTTTGTTTCGTTTCGTGTGTGTGTTCGGTTTCGTATCAGCGTTACTTCTGTCGGGGTTCCCTTCGTTTGTTGTCATAACGCGAGAGACTTTCATCGAGAACGGACGTATTTTTGTGTACGCCGAAACAAATTGACAATATTGTTGGAAAAATATTCCGCTGAAAATATATCGGAGACTATAGAGCATGGGCACTTAGCGGATAAGCATAATAAATACGTGTCGCAATTTAGGCAGCGAAGTGATACGAAATTTCAAAAAATAAGAAGAAGAAGAAGCATACAAAATCTGAAACGTGATCTTGTAGCGCAGTGTATCACATAACCAAGCTGCTGGTCCAGAAATTGCCTTTTGCGCGTGTAATCGTCACTTAAACAGAAATAGAAACGAGAACGTACAAAATTTGTACAACAATTAAATAAATGTGCGCGTGTTCAAAATTTTGAAAACGCAACAACAAGTGGAAACACAACTACAACGGCAACAAGAACGGGAAGTGCTCGCGGCCGCTCAACAAGTGTAACAAATAAGCGCACTGGGATTATCTAATAAACCAATAACATATATATGCATATATATATATATATATACAAGAGTCGGGCTCGCACCTCCCCAAATAATAATAAAACAGATTATATACCAAATAGGCAGCATAAATATTAAATTTAAGCCAGTCAAGTGTTTGAGAGCGTGTGAGTGTGTGTTGTGTGTGTCGTGTGTATGAATGTATCTGCATGTGTGTGTGTGAAACGAGCAACAGCAGCTACAACTACAACAACAACAGCAACAATACGGCAACGTCAACAACACGCAATTGCTGTGAGCGCGACGGAGACAGCAACAGCGTGAGTCATAAAAGTGAAATGAAAATGCGGATAAAGAGAGAAGCGCCGTGTCTACTGCTATTTATGCCAATCCAAAATAACAACAACAACAACAATCGCATTGGTGGTAAGTCGCAAAACAAAATGCAAACCACACAAACAAAAATAAATATTTAGTTAATATTAGCTAGAATTACTCACAAGTCTGTTGAGATTAAAAAACGAGCCAATTTTCCCGCTTGGAATGCCTGCTGTTTACTTTATAAACTTTGCGCGCTCAAGCGTAGACCGCTTGTGTGCAAGGGGGCAGCGGCAGCAGCACACACGTAAGCAGCAGCAGCAGCAGCAGTAGTAGTAAGCAGTGCTGCCATTTACGCTTTTTTTTCCGTCAAATCTGGCGTTCTTTTGTAAGGCAATGGGCAGCGGAAATTCCAGCTTGCATTTTGAATTGTGTTTTGCACAAATATGTCATTTTTGTAAGCGTAAATTAATGCCTGTCAGTAAATTATCAATTGTTATCTGTGCACGGAAATCGCATAAGCATTTCTTCCGCTTCTGTTCAATAAAATGTATTTGGTTTTTCACCTTCTTTTGCACTGGGAACTAGCCATAGTTTTTTTTGCTAAAAAGCTGGCAGCACTGTTGTTTAGCGTAAGCGTCGTCAACGTTTGTCTGCCGTGCGGGCCAACGCCTGCCCCTGCGCCCTGTGCCCTACCGACAAAGCATTTTCAACGAGTCAGACTTGAAGTCAGAGGCAGCGGCAGCGGCAGCAACAGTGTCGGAGCGTCGGTTTCTACTTACTTCATACGTGACTCACATTCGCGTGTCTTTCAGAAATAAAAGCAAACGAAAAAAGAAGCTTTTTTTTTTTTTCGTTGAGAAAAAAAATGTAAAGCAAAGCAGGTTTGTGCGACAGACTGGCAACGCTGGCAACGAAACCCGCTTTGAAACGACCTTTCGAGTACGAATTCGTCGGCACAGCAACAACAACAACAACAACAACAGCAGCAACAGCCTCTGTCGGCAGCGGGCAGCAACAACTTTAAAACTTGGCGAAGTTTCAGTACACACACACACACACACACACACACTTGCATGCATGCGTGTGTGTGTGTGTGTGCAGTGCATTGGCATGCGATTTGACTTGTTTCTGTTAGCCACAGCAACAACAACGGCCACCACAACATTTCCTGCCGCGAGTGAAAACTTTTTTTTTTCTGTTGGTTTTTGGCTTTTGAGGCTTTGAGGTCGCTCGACACTGATAAGCGAAGTTTCTGCTCTATACAAATTGTTGCGCGTTTCTGTTTTTTTTTTTTCTTTTCTTTTCTGCCTGGACAGCATAAAAGCCACAGCCACTAGAAACTGTTTATGCGGTTGCGACTGATAAGGTTTCTACTCCATACACACAGACACTAACACACTAACACACATGCGTTTGCCTATTGCCTGCCATTCATTCCAATGATAAGCGCTTTCCAAGCTCTTGTGCCCTTTTTTTTTGTTTTTTGTCGTAAAGCTTTGCATTGGGCCTCGCTTTGGTTACGTTTTTGCCTCGCTCTGACGCTGCGTTGTGCGCTAATCAAGCTGCGTGCCGAAATAAATGTCTTACGTCAGTTTGTCAAACAGCAGCAGCGAATATTTGCGGTTGTTTATTTGATGTGAATGTATGCATGTATTCATGTATTCATGTGAGTCGGCGCGACAAGTTTTTAGGTATTGGTTCACATCGAAAGCTGACGTCATTTGATCGCAGCGAAACCAAAATCAAATTAAACAAATCTTAATATAATGTATTTGCTCTGCATTGCAGCTAATCACAAGGACTATCCCAACAACAAACGGTCCAGGGAAAATCTGGCATGTGACGAACAGCAGCTGACGGCGACGTCGACGTCAACGGCAGCAATGAATGTTGGCAGCAATGGCGGCCGTACGCCGCCGCTCATGCGCAGCTGCTCCAGTCCGGCGGTATACGGTGAGCAAATAACTGTTTCTAAATATGATTATATATATATATATATATATATATATATATATAGATAGATGTAGATATGTACAGATGTAGTTTATGTACCGCTGCAAGTGTTTGGCACATTTTATATAAACCAGTTTCGGTGCCAGTTGCAGTTACAGTTTCAATTCCACTTCCACTTCCAGTTATCTATTTAAACTGTCCATCTATCAGCTGTCAAATCTGTTATCTGCATATTTGCATGTACGCTGTTTGTGCTTTTCATTGCATTTCATTTCCTCGTCCCAGCCGAGCTTAGAGAGACCTTCTCCAACACTACACACACTACACATATGTACGTATGTATGTATGTATGTATCTCTCTCGCTCGCACACGCTGTGTAAAGCTCTGCTTAACATCATAAACAAACAATGTTGTTTTTGTTTTAGCACGTGCTGCCAGATAAACATGACATTTTTGCTCTCGTTCAGATTGTTTTATTCATTTTGCACGTTATGAAATACAACATATGCACACAACCTGCAAAACATGCACAACAATAATAACAATAATTGCACTTGACAAAAGCAAAGACAGCAAAAAAAAAAAAAAAAACATACACACACAAAAACAAAAAGAAATGCGAAGAGAAGAGAAGAGAGCAAAATGCTCAATGTCAAACTTTTGGCAGCTGTGTTGGCAAATGCAACAAAAATACTCATTACTCTACACTATTTGCTGCTTGCTGAGCTTTCTGCACAGTGTAAAGTTTGTGCTAAGCCTTTAAGCTCAGCCCTAAATCTAATTGCTGAATGGCCGGCGGGGTAAGAAGGCGGCTGCTCCTGCTGCCGCTGCTGCTGCTGCTGTCACTGGACGGGCATGTGATCGCGCTATGATGCAAATAGATTTCAATGTCGCGCTGCTGTTATGACAACAGCGCTGAGATTTGTTATTGCGGCCAACACTCTGCTGCCCTCCCGCTCAGACCCACAGAGGCTTGCGCGTTTTGCGCTAGCTTTCACGCACAGGTCATTTGAGTTGTTGTTGTTCGCTTTTGCAATGCATTTTCTATTCCTGTTTACGTCACAAACGCTTTGAGTCATAAAATTGTTCGTGTTTGTTTCTGTAATTTAATTGCATTTACTTAGTTTTTTGCACTAACTGTTAATATGTTTATTATCAGTAGATAATTATTGAAAATACCCCGCATTTTATATCATGACAAATCACATATTTTTTTGGGCTACTTGTACATGTGTGTGTGTGTGCTTGTGTGTGTGTGTGTACTTTGATAGGTCTCACCCCGAAGGTGTATGACTAATGCAATTGATTTCCGTGCCACACTGTGACCCACAAACGTAATTACATGTACTAAATACAACTGTACATGTCTGTGTGTGTGTGTGTGTGTGTGTGTACGCCTGGGTGCATGGGCCCGAAACATTGGGCCAGTTGTTGCCTTGGCTATCAATTAACACGCGAACGACAGAAATAATCGATGAATTGGAAACAGCCAGCAGCATAATGCGCAGCCAGCATATAACTAAGCATAGAGCCACAATAGATACATAGATACAGATACATAGATACAGATACATACCTACAGATACATAGATACACAGCTATAAACTGAACGATTGTGCGCCTCATTGAAAGTGCTACGAACCCAACAAACGACGCAAAATATTGTGAGATGGCAAAGCAACCACAACGTGGACGGGGGGCGGGGGCGGGGGCGGTGGTGGTGGCGGGGGCAGCACCTCCACCCCCAAAAGACCCGCCCAGCGAGCCAGCCGCCACCCTGCTTGGCCCGCAGCCGCCCACAGCAACTGCCAATAAAACTAAACTGTGCGATTGCTCGCATGACTCATGCAACAACAACAGCAACAACAACAAGCGAAAGGAAGGCGCAGCAACAACAAAAATAAACAATTTGTTGTAGAAAACGTAGACGTAGCTATTGTAAACACACACAGATACACCCGCACACACACACACACACTCACACACAACAATAGATACACAACGCTGATCATCATGAACATCATTTGTAGCAACGGCTCTTTTGTTGCATGACATCGCAATTGGCAGACCGAATGCGAACCCCTAGAAACGGCTAGAGATACACTCAGAGAAAAAAAAATGAGTTGAATTCAATACAACAATTTTTCCATAGAAACTGAGTACAAATATTTACAGATCAATGATCATTTTAGAGAAACACAATATCACTAAATATAGAAAATTAGTTTATAAAAAGCAAGAGAAAAAATTTCGGAAATCTACGAAGTTGAAGAAATTGGAAAAATTATTTTAATGAGGAGAGAGGAGACTTCGAATAATAAAAAGAAATTAACTTTCTATACATCAGAAATAATAATATACTTATCTATTAAGTAAGTAAAACAATTTATAGAAAAGGCTATTCAGGAACTGAAATGTAAAATAAAGTATCTGATGTGCTTATAGTTTTCTTTAAGTGTACAGATCTAAAAACGAAGATCTAGATTCTAGATTTCCTGGCTAGTTTCAAGATGTTCTACAATTGCAAACATTTTCGATATATAATTAATAATATATGTTATCGATTATTTCATTTTCAGATATCGAAACACATCCCGCCTCGCCAGTATTCCCACATCTGCTGCTGGGCAATGGCCGCGATGCGGACGATCCCAGCAGCGTGGGCGCCAATTGTGTCCTAAATGTTACCTGCCAAAGTCCCAGCGAGAGTCATCTGCAGGGCCTCAAGTATATGCAAATACCTGCCAGCGATACGCCCCATCAAAATATTAAGCAATATTTTCAGGAGGCATTCGATTTCATAGGTAAGTTCACAAACAATCAATCCATAGCCAGCTATTGGCGAGCTTATATTGCGCCTAGTCATCCAAGGCTGATAAAACGTGACTGGCCGAAAGGGCTTTATTAGGCTCTGGGCGGGGTAGAGGGAAAGGTAGTAGGGGGGGGGCATTTGCGTAACGGTTTTTGCTGTGGCTACCACTTGGAAAATTCGTTTGCCTTTGTTTAGTATTTTTTTTTAATACCACGAACACACTGCGAACGTTTAAAAAGGGGTATATTGGTTTTGTGCAAAAGTTTGTAACAGACAGAAGCCATAGAGTGTATATCTTTTCCGGATCAGTATGAAGAAAGCTAGAAACTTCAGATTTCATATAGACATTTTTCTATTATCCGAAAGAACTTATTAATTTTTAACGATATTTCCTTCCAAAGAAGAAGTACATCAAATTGTGCTGGATATTTCCTAGTCGGATACTCCCGACTAGGCTTACTTGTTTTCTGCTGCCACAGGCAGTTTTTTCGTTTCCCTCTTTTTGCAAGGCATATTCAAAGAAGCTCGCATATATTTAGTTAATTTTAAGTGTAATACGGATGTCTATACGTATATGTATATACCAACAAATATATTTATATATATATATATATATAGGTATATGTATCTTTTGTCTGTGCATAGTATCCATAGCCATGGAATATTTTGCTGACGTCAATCGCATTTTTCCATTTTCGTTTTTCTCGCGGGCTAAAGTTGTGTTCTACGCTTTTGTACATTTATAATATTTATTTTTTTTTTTTTTGGTATTTTAATTTATTATTTTATGTTTTTTCTTTTTGTTGTATTGGCAGCTTTTATGGCTGAACAAGTCTCGGCACGTGTGCTTTGTTTTATTATAAACATATTTTAGTTTATAACAATTGACAAATGGTCCGTGACAAGTTTGATTGACTTTTGAAAATCTCGTGCAGCTTCTTGCGAAATGAAATTATGTATTTTTAGTCAGTATTTGCAGTATTTTAACTGAAGACATGTCTTTAATCTGACATAAAGGATTTTACACGCACAACTTTTCCACTTCAAAAAATTGCCATAAAAAGGATTTACACTAATTGTGTGCTCTATGAATGTGGATATGCCCTTGCATTTCGCTAACTAAAATCACAGGGTATGCAACAATTTGTCTGCCTGCGTTCAGAAGGGTGGCAAACGTAACTGTTGTAGGGCCCGCCGCCGCCACCTACTTCTCACATCCTCTGAGCGCCTGCCAGCTCCTACGCTTTCCACTCCATTCGTCGGCAAAGCGACGTCATTGTTGTTGTTGTTGCTGTTGTTGTTGTTGTTGTTGCGTGTTGGCGTTGGCAGACAGCATGGCGGCTGCGACGACGTCGCCGTCGTCATTGTTTGTCGTCGTTGTTGCGACTCGGCTGCGACTACGACTTTGACTTCGACGGCGACTGTGCTGCTCCTGTGTTTTGGTTTTGGTTTTTGTTTGTTTTTTGCATAATGGGCGATGACGCTGGCGTCCAGCACAGAGTTACACATTTACGCCATTACGCAGATATATCTATGTATGTATGTATGTGTGAATGGAAATTTTATGCAAATTAGGAGCGGCATTAACCGCAAACGTCCTTTCTGCTAAGGGTTGTCACCCTGCCCGAGTGGCCTTTCTCTTCATGTTCTTGTTGCTGCCGCTACTGTTGGTGTTTATGTTATTTTAGCCGCCACTGTAACCATGTCGCATGACTCATCGTTCGGCATGGCGCACAGTGCAATGTGGAACAGCGCGCACACACGCACACACACACACACACACACACACACCGGGGGCACACTCCTTGTAGCATTCAGCCATCCGCATCGATTTTCTCGTCTTATTGTTGCTATTTATTGCCGCCACCGCCGCCGCCAGCGGTACTTCACCCCCGCTAGCTGCCGCTGCCGCTGCCCGCCGCGCTGCTGCGTCGCTGCTCTTGCTCTTTGGCATATGTTCTATTTTTAAGCACACGTCGTAGTTCAGGACGACGTTGTTGTTTTGCGCTCGTCGTTTAGTTCCTGTTTATGAGTCATCGCGTTCCGTTTTTGTTGGCATTATCCTTGATGCGTGGCCTCGACAATGCGCTGACGTTGACGTCACAGCCGGCTGCCGCTGCCGCTGCCACAGCCGCTGCCACTGCTTTTGCTTGTCAGGTGCGTGTGCAGCAACAGCTGTTGCTTTAGCTTCATCTTCTCCATTAACATTTGTCTGGCTGTTTCAGGAAGAAACCAACACTCACACACCCCCACCTCCTGTCGCTTAGCTCACAAAGCCAAAAACATGTTCAAGTATGCATTATTTTTGTAACTGTTCTGTTCGGCGCTCTCTCGCCACCATGCTCTCGTGCTCTCCCCACACTCACTCACTCATTTGCTTGCTTGCTGGCTGTGTGTGTATGTGTGTGTGTGTGTGTGTGTGTGCTGCCAAAACACATTAGTACTCAGGCACGAAATAAAAGAAGAAAAAAAATATTGTGAACGAGTGCTATGAGTCATGATTTTGGCTCTGCCGCCACCCGCCCGATCGCCCGACCGCCTGGCCACTGCCACTGCCGCCTGCCTTTTGCGCATTCGTTTTCTGTCATTGTTGTTGGCTCCGTCGTCACCTTATGCTTATTATTATTATTGCTCTTATGATTGTCTGTATTTCTTACACTACTTATGATTTCTCATTGTTGTCCGTTGTTGCTGCTGCGTTTCATTCATCATAATATAACAGCACTTGGCGTGCATGTATGCGTGCGTGTGCGAGTGCAAGCGAGAAGGGGCCAAGCACCGCTAAGTGTTGCTTGAAAGCTTCGTCTCATTAGAGCGAATTGTCGTGTTGCTCATGTCTCATTATGCTTGGACTCGAACTTTTGTCATTAACACCAACCGAGCATAAATAGGTAAATGAGCTTTTCAGCACTAACCACTTGGCCTAGAAACCAATCAAAGCAACAACAACCCACGGCACACGATAAGCGCCAACCAATCAATTTTGAAAGTAACGCCAGCCTGTCTGATTAGACTGTACCTTAATAACGCACTATATATGTATGTATGTGTATGTATATGTGTATGTATATGTACAGTATGTACACAGTAGCAGCTCGCTAATTAATACACTTCCAATTCACAGGTGATTCTAATTTGCGTAATATTGTTATATCTGAAAGATCTATTTTTCCAAACAATATATCACAAATCAATATCAATTTATATAATGTAATATTAATATAATCATTTATATAGACTCTATGTTTCGAGCGTTTACTGTACATGTACATACACTTAGGCTTAAATAGCTGTACACACATACATATGTGTGTGTGTGTGTATATAGTATTTGTGCAGTTTTCTTATCAAACTTTACTATCTGGCCGCCAACAGAGGCCTCTTTTGAGGTGTACTAACAACTAGCCGAGCCATTTAAAAGTTGACGCACAGCTAAACAAACTCGAAACGGAGCCCGAACCATTTGTTTATCTTTCAGCTGATATATATGTATGTATGTATATATAGTATCTATATTTGATATTAACACAAGCGCAAACACACACAACTAAAATGCTGACTGAAGTTTTATCAGACAGGTCTGACGAGCAAATAGATTAGATAGCGAGCCAAGTTTACATGCACCCCATAGACGGCCGTAATAGCAGCTATTCTCTAGATATATTTCGACCAATCCAAAGTTTCCCAGTAATCCTGTACGGCTGTGTTGCGATCCCGGGGCTCGCTGGTGACTAACGCGGCCTCGGGGCGACATTTCTGTTGGCCCCGTGCACATAATTTCAATATTCGTCAGCGAGCTATTTATAAAAACAAAAAACAAAAAACAAAAAAAAACAAAACCAAAAGCGAAAACAACAACAACAAAAACAAATCTCTCTGTGTGCAGGAATTTATTTATTTTTTTTTTTTTTTTGAAATTTTTCAGTCTGTGCCGGGCGCAAGAAAATTTATAAAAACACTTCATCATACACTGTATTTATTACAAGAAAGGCATACCTAACACGCTGCCGCGCCCCCCCGCCCGCCCCCTCTGACTCTTACTCAGAGCTATCGGGGAGCTGCCCGCGCAATTCTCGAATTTGTTTATGAAAACTTTTCGCGTATTATGAATCACAATATCACGAGCCGGTCACACAGACATATACATGTGCAAGCCCACCCGCTGCCCCCCCCCATGCTCTCTGGCCACTTATTATTGGGTTGAAGGCAACATCAAAGTGCAGCCAGGCAGGCAAGGCAAGGCAAGTCAAATCTCCAAGTCGGACTTGGAGCCGCTTTGTTTCCGTATGACTCGCCGTTTGTCAAGTTGAAGGTCAGCGCTGAGCGGCGCTTCATCAGCTGCTTGACGGAATGATTCATGTTCGGGCGATCCTGAGAAGCACCTGCCGCGTTTGCCACACGGCGAACGGTATTTGTTGATCGCTGAGTAAGCGCTGCGTCTAGCGCGGGCGTGCCCGACTATAAGGTACTCATAACGCACACACACACACAGCTGCACCTGAGATCTTTGCTCAGCTTCACATTTTGGAAATTACAGACTTGAATAACTCTTGTCTTTCTTGCCCGATTCTTATGAAACTTTCAGTTATTGAAGTTGGCATTTGAGTGTGTGCTTTGACCTTTTACCTCTTGTTAGGGTATCCAAAAAGATGAACATACACGAAATCTGATTATTGTGTCCTTAAATTTTGATTTTGAAAAATAACAAAATGCGACTGAAGATCGATATTTATCGGTTTTAGAGTAACCAAAAAAACTTGTTAAATATTATTATCGAAATATGGTCAACAAAACTGATTCGAGCTCAGAGCAAAGGGCATACGCTGTCAAGAACTTATCCAGACAGACATACAGCCAGAACAACCCTACTGATCAGGCACATATAAATCCTCTGTCAGAGTTGCCACCTACTGAATATTCCCCATTTTCAGAGCAATTTTAATGGCTACAGGGTATTGATAGCAACTCGAAAGTAATTAAATATTTTAAAACAAACAAACTACTTGTTGCCCGGCGAGACACAGACATCACACACACACACACACACACACACACACACACTCACACACACACAGATACAGAGCCAGACACATACTTAGGAACAGTCATATAGCGATATCATGTTGCCGGGCTCTGGTCTGGTGGTTGTTTCACTCTTTCTGCGTTTCGGTTTCTGTGTGGGTTTCTGGCCATGACTCACAGGAGTTGCGATGTGTGTTGCAAGGTAACCCGAACAGCAATCAGTGCGACCCTTGCGCCTTGGCTTAATCATCATGATCATCATCATCGCCAAAAGTGAGAATGATTTGAGGAATGGGCACAACAACATTGTCCGCACATAGGCCCGTCTGTTGGCCCAGTTCTCTCTGTGACGCACAGCCGCCGCCGCCGCCGCCGGCTGCTGTTGCACTTAATCATCGGCGCACGGTCGGACGGTCGGACGGTCGCACGGGCTACTTTGGCTACCCAAAGTTGGCATTACGCATCAGCCGCATCGCCGCCCCAAAAATGGAGTCACGACGTCGTCGGTGACAGCCCTATGAATGGCCGGGGACGTCGCTTTAATAGACACGATTCGAGCCACTCATCGCCGGGCTATGCGCGGCACACTGTTTAGTCATAAGTGTCGCACCGTAATTGATGATTACTAATCACACTCCCCCGGCTCAGCCCTCGCATCACACCATGCACAATATCGCATGAACAATATGCATATGGCCAATCCATCGACAATTACCATCTTAACGCCTTTTCCGATAAATTCACCGTTAACAACAGACGGTTTCCCCAATCTCATGCTACAGTCCGAGTTCCGTTTTATATGATGATGACCACATAGCTTCCGTTGAAGATATTTGTCTTGGAATGCCTCGTCTCATCTAATAGGAATGTGTTCGTGTTGCAACAGTTTTTTTGGAATAATATCATATTTTTCTCCAAAATTATGCAAAATGCTTGATCTTTCGCGGATTAGAACATTCCGCTTCCAAGTGCGTAGAAGAAGAAGCTAAGAAACTATGAAAGAGGAAGAATATGCAATCTGTATTATATAATCCTCGAGCACAGAACTCTTGTTTTTCCATAGGAAATTACATTAATGATCGCTTGTTTCCATGAGATCTCTAGATGACTTGGTCAACTTCGTAATCAAGATCTATTTTTTACTTATCCACAAAATCAAGTTTCTTCTTATAAACTTCAGGTATATTTCAAATAACCTATTAGTCAGTGCTGGAGATTAAAGATATTGCTTCAATATGCGCATGAGTTGCATAATAAAATATGAAAGCACAAATAAGGATCTGTCAGTCTTATCTATAAAGCTTATGTCATATAGCTTATGAGTATACCATTGCTTAATCCAAATAAAATCTAATCTCAAGATTAGCCAAGACAAATTCCCGGAATGACAGTAAAATTCATTTTAACTCATATTTCAAACTCAAATTGTGCCATGGGACATTAAAATGTAACGAGAAAAACGATTTTTCAAGAAATCTGAACCATATGACTATATCATCCTAGATCCTAGCGAAGCATTAACTATTATATCATTCCTTTTCAATTATTTCCTTGCTCTAGTTAATTTATTATATTATGCATATTTCATGCGATTTCCTTCATCTGAAAAATGCATTATTCTTCTATCTGAAGTATCCACTATCCTTATCAATTGATGCTTGAGCTGTTCTATTACTCAACTGTGATTAATGAGTTAATTCCGAGTTCCGCTTAAAATGATCTCACTGTACAGCAAAAACATCAAGTTGTTTGGCAAGTTCTTCCCCCACTTCGAGTGTTGCCTGTTTCGCTGCGTAAATCTTTAGCCTAGTCCAAGACGGGCCAATACTTCTTGGCCCACTGTCTGAGACCAATCTCTCTCTTTCTCTCTCTCTCTGTCTCTCTCTCTTGCTCGCTCTCTTTCGAATGTCTGTGGGCAATGCCTGGCAAATGAGTCACTTGGGGCAGGCGCGTTTTATGCGCGTTTTTAACTGTCTGAGCGACGGGGTCATTAACTAAGAGGATTTATGAGCACCATGAGCACGGTGACCAGTTGTCTGCTGACGACAAAAGACACACACACACACACACACACACACACACACGTGTGTGTGTATCTCTGATGAGTGTGTTTATTTTTGGCTAGCCTAGAATAGCGAATTTATAGACACCATCGAAAGCCCAAAAGAGGCAGCTGATGTGCTCGAGAGCTGCTTTTGTAACTAGCCACTTGTATTATTCATTATCATTGTCATTATTATTAGCATTATCATTATTATTAGCATTATCATTATAATTATCATTGATTAATTACAGTAAAACTCTAATAACGAACAGCTTTAGGGGAATAACTTCTTTTCTTCGGCTTATTTTCGTATTTCCCAACTTTTTATCATCTGAAACTTAACCTATGAATTTTGAGATATGGTTTTCGAAAATAATAAAATTTAGATACATTCGAAATATTAGGAATATTTCACTTCCATTACCCACAAATTAGACTAGAACTAGAAAAATTAGACTAGAACGGACTTTAAACGAAGTTACGTAACATTTTATTCGAATTAAGGGAGGGGGGTTGGAAAAGGTAAGAGGACGACGTACTATCTTAGTAACATTTCAGGTGTTCACTGTACCTAGCATGCGATTATCATTATTATATTATTTATGACTCTTATTATTTATTATGGTTTTTCCATCCTTACGACTCATAATTGCAATATCATCGTTGTTTGCCCAGTCGCTTGCCAATTCGTTCGATTTTTTTTACGGTTATCATTGCTTAGTGCTGATAAGCGTTAACTAACTTGATTTGATTTTTCCGGGCCGTACTTGAAACCCCTATGGAATGAAAGACAGCTTTTTTTTTTTATTTTTGCTCGATGTTGTTTTTAATACCGTTACTCGTAGTACGTACAGCAACAGCAAACAGTCAAGCTCGTTTCTTATCAGTCCAATACTTTGCACTCATTCATTGATAGATCGAATTTGCCTCTGTGTGTGTGTGTGTGTGTGTGTGTGTGTGTGTGTGTGCGTACTGCGCTTGTATTGCGGTAAATTGACTTTGCGAACCACTCGAAATTTCCAGGCGCAATTGCTGGCGGATTTACACGCGATGTGTAGCTTCCCAATACGCTTATCACTGATAACGATTATTGGTTGTTTGGTTTTCTGTGTGCTGTAAAAAGGGGGCAGGGTGGGCGTAGTGTAAATAACGGCTGGACGATCCACAGGGGCGCCAGCCAGGCGAAGTGTCCGCTGACGACAAGCGATGACTAATACCGATTGACTGACTGCAAGGCTCAAAATGCAGCTTATCAGCTGCGCTGCGTGTTTGGAAATCAGACAAGTGTGTACACACATCTTTATATATACAAACAAATGCATACATGTGTGTACAAGTGTGTCTGTATGAGTAATCATTGATTAGCAAATGCAAGGCCTGCGCTCGCGCCCCCCTATTGCGATTAGATAGCCAGCCACACAGGCATAAATGTTGCGCTGCGTAGGGTGGTTGCTATTTGAGCACCACCCCAAAAAAAAAAAAAACAACTCGAAGCTGCGAACGCTGCCTCGACTGGCTTATCTTCTGCCCAAAAATAACAACGTAAATTATGAGTTAATGTGCGCGCGCGCGCGTGTGTGTGTGTAAATATTCTCGATTGCTGTGTTTGTCAATAAAGCAGCAGCGCTTTGCGTCTGCATGACTCATCCATTGCACAGCAAACAGTTCACACACACACACACACACACACACGCTAGCGTGAGAGCAATATACGCATACAATTACAAATTATTGACAGCACTGAGCGAGCGCCAATATCAGCAACAGCAACATCATCAAAGCTTAAAAGCCCGCGGCAACAAAAAGTTTTCACCCAACTCAATACATGCGCAAGTTTGTGAGCGGCACAGCCTGTGTGAGTGTGTGTGTGTGTTGGAGAGGAAGAGAGAGCGCGAGAGCGCGAGCAGCGCATCGCGTAGGTTGGCAGCAATCATTTTGCGTTCTCGATACATTTTTCGAACTGCTGCTGCCGAACTACAGTTCTTATTTATTTATTAATTTATTTTTTGCATGGCGCAACTAATTGGCATTTGTTGATGCAAATTGCGGCGCCTTATCAGCTGATAAGAAAGTAATTTTCAAAAAAAAAAAAAAAACAAAAATGCTAAACATGCACTCCTCTCGCTCTCTTTCTTGCAGAGGATGCACGCAAAACAGGTTCGCGCGTCTTGTTGCATTGCCATGCGGGCATCTCGCGCAGCGCCACCATCGCCATTGCCTACGTCATGCGGTACAAGTCGCTCTCGCTGCTGGAGGCCTACAAGCTGGTGAAAGTGGCCCGGCCCATCATTTCGCCCAATCTGAACTTTATGGGCCAGCTGCTCGAGCTGGAGCAGAGTCTGCGCAAGAGCGGCGTCCTGGCGCCGCTGCCCGTAACACCCGTTGCCAGCAGTCAATCGCCGCAAGTACCGTTAGCGGCCACAACTAGTCAGCTCGTGGAGCAGCCCGAGCAGGAGGCGGCAGCTGCTGTGGCACATCTGGCGCCAACGTCGCGCCCGCTGCACAGTAAATCCAAATCGGATAGCGAGGCCATGGATGAGGATGTCTATGATTATGATGATGTGGATAGCGGTGCCGGCAGCTTTGCCGGCAGCAATTGCTCATCGCGCCTAACCTCACCGCCCGTCACACCGGACGAGACGCCCTGCACTTCGGCAGCTGCGGCTGCCACCGAACTGGACTCACCCTGTTCCAATAGCAGCAGCGGCATCTACTCCATGTCTGCGTCGCGGCCCTTTAGTGCGCCCAATAGTTATGCTGCTGCCACGCCCGCACCCGCCGCTACCACGGCAGCGCCGGCGCTGCTGTCGCCATCGCGGCCGCTGGCGCTCTTCAAGCGTAACTCGCCCGTCAAGCTTAGGCTCAATCTGGAGTCCAACTATACGCCAAACATACCAAAATCCATATCCTGCATATCCATACACAATGCCAGCCTGCGCAGTCCGCTGCAGCGGGAGGCGCCAGCCACGCCCAGCTGCGAAGCGGCGCCCACTACGCCCGGCGACAACAACTGCAGCAGCAGCAGCAGCACAAGCAACAACAACAACCTGGTGGCAGCCACGTCGAGTGATTGATCCATCAGGCGGAGGCGCCACCGCCGGCCCTTAGCTGTGAATAAAATAAAACTTATGTGTACATTTAAGTGATGCGAAATTTGAATGTTTCTATAGAGAACACTGGATTGATTGAAAGGATAGATTGATTGATTGATTGATCGCTTGATTGATCGATCGATTGATTGACTGTTTGATGTGAGCGTGTATATTTTGTACCTAAATATGTTTACCCATCCAAAATTGGGGCAAAATTCATTGAGCATAAAACGGAATATATAGTCTAATTTGTAATTTGTAAATCTTTTGTAATGTATTTTAGAGCACAGCAAAAGAGAAAAACAAAAAAAAAAAAAAACAGAACGGAACGGAAAGAAAAGAAAGCAAGAAAAATAGAAAACTTTAAACGAAAAGCATCAACTTATTAAATCTTGTGCTGCTATTATAAATTGTTTAAAAACCTCGTAATGTTTAATTTAGTATAATTTATGATAAGCCAATCTTAACTATACATATTAAAAAAAAAAAACAAAAAAAGAAACAGAATAATCATATGCATATAAAAAAAAAAAAATAACAATGAACTTTACAATCGCACTGCAAATATTTCTGCTCACTTGCCACAGAACGAAATACCCTGTACCGAAAATTTACAAATCCAAATCAACAATTATAAAGATGCGTACTATCTACTATATTATCAAAACTGTTCTAAGTTTTATGCGACTTCTGTTCCCAGACACACACACACACACACACACACACACACACACATACACTCAGTCACACTTTTGAAACTTATTATATTACTTATATGTATTGTATATTTTAACTTTTTAAAGTGAGCAAGCAACATTGTTTGGTTTGTGTTTGTGTTTTACTAGTTTTAGTTATTTATAAAAACAGATGATCGAGAGAGAGAGAGAGAGAGAGAGGGAGCGAGAGAGTTGTATGCAATCTGAATTCATTTGGTTTAGTTTTTAAGCATATTTTAATTTAAGGCTCTACACCCAAAAAGTGTAACACGTTAAGTAAATAGAAAACATAAACAAGTAACCAAAAAAATATCAAATGATTTTTATTCAAACTTTATCTTTTGGCGGCGCTTAATGGATTCTTACAAAGCTCTGTTACATATCCCTGAGCAACTCTGTTCGCATACAGCCCTGCCTACGATACAACCCTGTCAAATTCTCGTGTTCATCGCGAGCGCCTGTTTGATTTGTATTGTCGACTTTGCCTTGCTGGAAATTGTGTGTGTAATATGTAAGGTATTTATTTGTAATAAATAGATTAATTATTTACAGCCCAGCTACATTAAACATATTACTGTGACTCAAGCTGACTCTGGCATTACGCTTATTGCGTTTTATTGCCATACCAAAGGGAATTTACCGTTTAAACGCTGACCTTGCAAGTGCTCGAATTTAACATTTTCCCAACAGCGAGGATTGAAAATAACATAAAAAAAAAATTAATTAAAAAGCAGCTCCAATTGCAAAATGTCTGAATTGGATTGGGATGATCCAAACTACGTGGAGCCGCCCGCAAAATACTCGCAATCCACATATAACGAGAATTACAACGACGATTATTCTCGGGGTCGGCGCAGCGGCGGCAGATATGACAGCCACAATAAACGCGACAGAGAGCATCGCGAGATTTACAGTAACAAGCGTCGCGATAATTACGAAAGAGATGGAAACGGCTCCATGAAGAGCGCTGCCGAGCACGCTTTCAGCGAATCGCTTAAAATCTCCACGGACATGGTGGGTCGAGTCATTGGACGCGGTGGTTCGAATATAACGCGCATTCAGAATGAGTTCACAGTGCGCATCAATGTAGATAAAATCGATCTATTGGTCAAGGTGTCTGGTAATTTTCAACTAAATGTCAGCGATGCTGTGAACGAGATACGCAAGCAAATCAGCGGCAAGGGTGGAGGAGGAGCGGGCTACGGCCGTTCCAACGATGGAGGCTATGGCCAGCCTGATGGAGGCGGCGGCAGCTATGGGCGTTCCCATGTTGCTGGCTATGGTCGCTTCGACGAAGGAGTCAACGACTATGGTCATTCCAACTATAATAGCAATGGCGGTGGACAAAGCAATTATGAGTTTACAGCGCCGACAGCACGATCAGAAACTGCAGCCGATGGCGACTTGACGGGCACCATCGACTGGGAAGGCCTGAACAAGGCTTCGGTAAGTCACAGCAAAACGAAGAGTAGTATTCAACTAATGAAACCATTGTTAACAGAAAATAGCCCAGGCTGCACGCTGGGCCAAATGCCCGAAATTGACAAAGGATTTCTACAAAGAGTTGCCGGAGGTGGCCAATCTGTCCGAGGCAGAGGTGGCACGCATACGCATGGAGAACAACAATATTAGTGTTTCGCATGTCTTTGAAGCGAAGGATGGCGAAACCCCAACGCCCATACCCAATCCTGTATGGACTTTCGAGCAATGCTTTGCCGAATATCCTGATTTGCTGGGCGAAATACAGAAGCAGGGCTTTGCGCATCCATCGCCCATACAGGCGCAAGCTTGGCCCATTCTGCTCAAAGGTCATGACATGATTGGCATCGCTCAAACGGGCACGGGCAAAACGCTTGCCTTTCTTTTGCCCGGCATGATACACACCGAATACCAAAGCACGCCACGTGGCACACGTGGTGGCGCCAATGTCCTGGTCTTGGCGCCCACACGTGAGCTGGCGCTCCAGATCGAAATGGAGGTGAAGAAGTATTCCTTTCGCCAAATGAAAGCGTAAGTTCGGCGTTTGCTATTGCGCTTGGAAACAGGCATCTGTCCATAAAGTTTCTATAGATTGTTGTCTTCATTTTGAACAGTGTTTGCATCTACGGCGGCGGCAATCGTAATATGCAAATTTCGGATGTGGAACGTGGCGCTGAGATTATAATCTGTACGCCGGGTCGTCTAAATGATTTGGTGCAGGCCGGCGTTGTCAATGTGTCGTCAATAACCTATCTGGTGCTGGACGAAGCGGATCGCATGCTGGACATGGGCTTTGAGCCGCAGATACGCAAAGTTCTGCTTGACATACGGCCGGACAGGCAGACCATAATGACATCGGCCACCTGGCCGCCGGGTGTGCGACGTTTGGCACAAAGCTATATGAAGGATCCGATACAGGTGTGCGTCGGCTCACTGGATCTGGCCGCTACGCATTCCGTTGAGCAGGTCATTGAACTTCTAGAGGACGACAGGGATAAGTTCCATGTGCTTAAGTCGTTTGTCAAGAACATGTCCAAGACGGACAAGATAATTGTATTCTGTGGCCGCAAGGCTCGCGCCGATGATGTCTCCAGCGATCTATCCCTGGCTGGTTTCGCCACACAATGCATTCACGGCAACCGGGATCAGAGCGATCGTGAACAGGCTATTGCAGATATTAAATCGGGCATAGTACGCATATTAATTGCCACCGATGTGGCCTCGCGTGGTCTGGACATTGAGGACATAACGTGGGTGCGCCACAATTATATCATATCTATAACTGTTAATCCTGCTGTCTGCTTTTAGCCATGTCATAAACTACGATTTCCCACGTAACATTGAGGAGTATGTGCATCGTGTGGGTCGCACGGGCAGAGCTGGACGCCTTGGCACGTCCATTAGCTTTATTACACGCGACGACTGGGGCATAGCCAAGGAGCTGATTACCATATTGGAAGAGGCTGCACAGGAAGTGCCCGAGGAGTTGCGTCACATGTCCAAACGTTTTGCGGCCATGAAACGTCGTGCAGCCGAAGATGATGCGGTTGGAGGGCGGGGCGGCGGCCGCGGTGGCGGCCGTCGTGATCGTTATTAAATCTGACGAAATTTGTATTCTGCTGTAGAGCAACAAGGATTATTGTTTTCAAAACAAAACAAGACAACGCATTGAAGCGCTCGAATTTATAGTTTTAAATATGTACTTAACCAGCATATGCAATCAGTTCCTAGATTTCCAGTGTATAAAAAATACATTAAACAAAGAGAAGTGTAGGAAATGTATTATAAAAATGTAATTAATTTGCAACTCCTGCGTATTTTTGCAATAGCTCCTGCTTGCGCTTTCGCAGCAGCGCCTCCTGCACATCCTGTTGTGTGGGCACAGGTACATGGGCAGTGAAACGTGGCGCCAGCAGACCGAGCGGATCATTTTCCGCAGCACGTGTTTTGGCATCTTCGGCAGCTTCGCGTGCTGGCCCCGAGAGCGGGTAGATTTCGTCATCATCCTCCTCCTCCTCGTCGATAATGCGACCATCGCGTGCCATTTTCTCGCGCCACTCCTGCACCGCCTTTTGCAGGGCGGCTCGCTCAATCTTCTCCTCCAGCGGTATCAGGACGCCGTCCTCGTCGTCGCGATAGCCATAGTATTCGGCGTCAATGTCTTTCATCAGTTCGGCGCGCGTTTTGCGCGGCGGAGGCGGTGGATCCTGTTCGAAGAGCTCACGCACACCGGGCAAATCTTTGGCCGCGCCAAAGTATTTGTAGCCACGATTGCCCGGCACCTCACGGCCCTCGGCATCAAACATTTTGGGGCCATAGCGACGATAATGTGGACCGCCTAGCGCTGATATTTGATTCTCCCAGTGGCGCTTCTCGCGCAGCAGCTTGTTGATCTCATCGTTGAGATCGCGTATGCGAAACTCGCCCAAGCCAGCTGCAATCTGGATGTTAGCTTAAAGATTCCACATAGACAATATAACCATCACTTGCCATTTTGAATTTGTGCTACTTTCTTGGATATTTCACGTATAATCTCCAGACGAAATTTCTCACATTTGGGCAGGCTGTGACACTCCGATGCCAAGTAAGGGCGTCGTTCCTTTTCACCCGATTCGACTTCCTTGGCGGCTCGCCAACGCGCCAACGTTGTCCTGCCGGCAGCAAAATAGGTAAGAGTTAAATGCAGGTGTTTCTTTTAATATACAGCATACTTACATTGCCTTTTCCGCATTTCTTGCCTGAAATGAAACAGTTTTTATTGAACATTATAATAGTTTGATTAATTAAACGTTTACTTACCATTTTTATTTATTGTTTATATTTCAGATTGTGGTTGTTGGTCGATAATTGATCGAAATATAACGTGAACTGCCATTCTCCACGAAATACATATTCGATTACTAACATCGATTATTGTTCTGCTGTTAAGTAACAGCTGGCTCTGTTGTGGACTTTGACTGCTCGCAGCTGTTAAGTTCAGTTCGTGGCTGAACGCCTGCATGAAGCAAATTTTTATATCGTTGTTCTGCAGTAAAGTGCATACATTTTCGAAAACTATTGTGTACTATTGTGTAAAGTGATAATGCAAAATATATAACAGAAAAGGCTGAAGAACATAGTATTTGTAGCGAACTAGATGAAAGAACAATATTGCCATTCGCTCATTTGATTCAGTAGTTCGATTAAACGTGCTCCGATACAACTTTACTGCTGTTTCGCCTACGCCATTTATTTGCAAGGAAAAATTAAATTAACAAAACAGAAGAATCATGCTGGCGCTTATCAACAGAATCCTGGACTGGTTTAAGAGCATCTTCTGGAAAGAGGAGATGGAACTGACGCTGGTCGGCTTGCAATTCTCAGGCAAAACCACCTTCGTCAATGTTATTGCAGTGAGTATGCTTTTTTTTTTTTTTTAGCAAATAAGTGTGTGTGTGAGGCGGCGGCTGTTCTTTGCGGGCGCGGAGGTAAGCAGAGCAGTGTGCCGCAAGCTATGCCAATGCAATAGCCAGAGGAAGAAACCAATAAACTAAATGCCTTGGACAGAAGGAGAAGCGCGGGGCGCCAGACACAAATTGTGACAAATCGAGCGTTGTTGTTGTTTGGCCGTTTTCTATTGATTTGCCTTTGTTTCTAAATACGTCATGCAATTATCAACTTTTTGTGCTGTTGATTTTCACAGAGTTAACAATTGACGCTCTGCTAACTTCTTTTAGCACTCATATTTATTGTGTCTGGCGTTAATCAATACATGGCATACACATATTTGCATAAATGACGACATTATCAGCTCCCCAGCACATAGTCTGCTCCATTTACTGATAAGCAACGAT